AAGGAGGTAAATGATGGGGAATGAAGTGGAGGGAACAAGTTGCAAGAGAAGGAAGACCCCACAAAGATAACTGATACCCAACCAAACATAACCGAGGACCCCTCTAGAGAGCTAGACAAAGCCACCGGAAATCCACACCCTGCAGAACTCACTCTAGCAGTAATTCCAGACTAGCAAACGGAAACACTTGACATTTAAAGGGTGAAACACATTCAATAATTCAGAGTTCCCACATGGTCAGAAGAACAAAATGAATTCACAATAAACACCCAACTCACTCCTGCTGCCTTTGTGGCCCCCTCATAGAATGCACCCAAAGCCTGGTTAGCACTATTAACTTAAAGACTATGCGATAATTGTCCCTGCATCCGCTCTGTCCTCACCAGGGTGGTATTGCTATTGATCTCCATTAATGATTTAGTGATTAAGGAGGACAAATTGCCTGCAAAGCAGGCTGAAAGGCCCCCAGGAATGAGCTGAACATTCTCTAAGTGCTGTATGTGCTGGTGTGACTTTCAACCCAGTGTCCGCTGCCACTTGGACCTCACCAGCATCTTGCTCCTCCTGACTCTCTGTTGACAACTTCTGAGAACTGTTCCCCTTTCTTCTTTATATGTTCCACTTGGGCAAAGGCCCTACTCCTCCTTCAAACCACTTTCCAGCTACGCAATGGGGCCCTTGTTATGCATTAGTATACACAAGCAGAAAACATGGTGATTCCTGGGCAGTTGTGTGTTTGGCTGTGTTAGTGGGGATCATCATATAGTCCTTCTCTTTTGGGTTATGCCTTGGGTGCTAGGCTGGAAATGCACACAGACAGTGAAATAAGATGAATTCTTTCTCTCACTTCATAAGTATTCCTTGAGAGATATCAGTGTATATTAAGATAAGGAGATAAAAAGTTTCCTTCTTAAACTGGACTTTTTCTGGAGGGAATTGTCTAAAAGTGTGAAGTCCCCAAAAACATGATTATTGATGGAATCCAAACAACAATATTTAAAAATGAGCCCTTTTGCATTACTCCTGGGAGAGAATCAGAAAGGAGTTTGGAGAATAAGGAACATCATCAATAGGGGGAGAGAGAAGAGGTGGTAAGGTTGAGAGAGATCAGGATTAGGTTGGAGAAGAGGTATTGGATTTTAAGAAGAGTAAATTGTAGTGTCCTGTGTTTTGTCATTATTATTTTGTGATTACTATGTAAACCAACAGTTCTCTAAGTGGGGTTCTAGTAGCCTGAGGAAACTGGTTGGAAATGCAAATTCACAGGCCTGTCCCCTGACCTATTCAATCTAAGTGTGCTGCAAAGGAATCTGTCTTAGCAAATCCTACAGGTGATATGGATGTCCTTTAGCTTTGAGAACCACTGAGAAAATCCTTCCAGTTCTTACAATTATGTCCAACTGCAGTTAAGGTCTAGACATTCGTGGGTATTTTGTGTGATGGTTTGATTGTTGCCAATGACATTGATATTGAAGAAGGGTTGAGTATCTTATTTGGGGTCAGCAGTGGGGTGAAAGAATTTCTAGAGACAGAGATATCCCCAGAGACAGATATAACCCAGGAATTGGCAGAAATATTTAGACTTCCACAGGCCAAAGAATGAATGGGATTGTGTCTATTTTCCCCTGTGTTCTGGAGAGCAGGGAGGCCACCTGTTGTGCTTCTGTAATAAGCTCATCTTCTACTCTGTCTTCTCCATCAAGCCTCCTGAGCTTCCTCTTTGCAGCTTGTTCTCAACAAATGACTTTGCTCTACCCATCGCTGAGAGAAAGAGAATCACAAGCTCCCTGCACTGAATCTAGAGAATCTTTACCCTCTCCTCCTGTGCCCCTTCCTTAAGGAAGGGTGGAGGGGCCACCTCTTCACCCATTCCTGAATGCCATGCATGCCAAGAACTCACTTTTGAAAGCCTTGCTTTTCAATCTTGACCTCAACCATCACCAGAAGAGTTTTTGAAAAGCCCAGAAGCCCAGGCTGTGCCCCAGACCAACTGTCATTATGTCAGCATGGGGCAGGAGGACTGAGGCAGAGGAGGTCTTAAAGCTCTCCAGGTGATACCAACTTGCAGGCTATGAGCCACTGTTCCCCTCTGGGCAGTGAACTCCACCACGATAAAATCACACACTCTCTCTCTCCTGTCTTTAAAACATTCTTCTTTGATCTTCACCTCAACACGGAGGCTGTGCAGAAGGCCTTCTTGAAGGAGGTGGTGATGCCTGCCGTCACTACTTTCTCACTTCCATTTATTCTGTAATCCATGCCCATCTCCCTGGTGTCTGTCCCCTGGCTTCAGTAAAATGGCCCTTTCAAGATTGCCGGTATGCCCATATTTCCACAAAATATGACCACCTTCTTTTCTTATTCAATTCAACCCAACAGCCTCATTTGACATTTAATCACGGTCTTCTTCAATCAGTCCATGTATCTGTTCTGTGGTCTTTGGGTATTCTTGTATCCCACTGACTGCTCCTTCTCAACCTCCTTTGCTGCCTTCTCTGTCTTGACTCTAATTGCCTATAATACCGAGTCGGTTTTGGGTTACACTTGATCTTGATGGTGCCCGTGTTTACACGACTAGCTCAGCCATCTCCTTTGAGTTCTACATTTGCTTATTCATGTCCCTTATTGGCATTTTCACCTGTATGTCCCATAGATGTCACCAAAGTTAACATTTTACAACAATCTCTTAGTTCCATGCCTGCATATTCCCTCCTTTTCCTCCAGTCTTTCTAGCTCTGAAAATGGCACTATCGTCAAATCAGTTGGCCAAACCAGACATCTAAAGTTATTATCAACTCATCTGTCTTTACCTTTCAACTTTAATTCCTCTGTAATTTCTATTCTAAGTCCAAAAGGGACTTCTCACCTCCATGGCCATCACTGTAGTCCAGTCTATCAATCGACCACATTGGTCTTGGACCACAGCTTCCAAATTGGTCTCTTTGATAGAAGTCTCACCTTCCTCCAATTCTTTCTCTGGACAGACATATCAAGGGAGGTCCTTCCACTGTATACAGCATCTTTACTTCTGGGTCTATGCAACTTTCTGAGCAGAAACTTTCTGGAAGCTGCTGACCATGGAGATGATTAAAGGTCAAGGTCAAGGCAGGTTTTTTTTTTTTTTTTCAATCAGGGATTGAACCTAGGGAAAATACAATTTTCTTGGAAAAGGTTGCTTCTTACATACTCCTCCACCTTAGTCTCTTCTCATCTTTGCCAATTCCTTTCCTGGACTCCTGAATGCTGGTGTTTCCAAGGGCTTGATACCATCTCTCAGTTCTTCCTTTATCTATGTTTCCTTGCTAGATGCAGATAACTCCCCAATACACTGTCTGTTTCTTCTCCCCAGATTCACATAATTCGACTGCCCGTCTGTGTCATTAGCACCAATCATTTGCAAAATGCTTTGTACCTGGTTCCTGTCATTAATAAAAATAGAAATTCACCTTTGAACTTCACATGGTCCAGTTAATATACATAGTTAGTATCAACTTTGAATATCAGTCTTATAGATAGACTGGAGTGCTGGGTAGCAGATGAGGAGGGTGGGTGAACAGGGGGAATAGGATTAGCTCAATGCCATCTTCTAACACTACCAGACCAGCTCATTCAAAGGTCAGTAGCATTGGATTTATGTTCTACATGAGTAGAAAACATTTTTGTCCACTAATCTATACCTAATTCAGATGAACTCTGATACAAATGAAGCTTTCTTAAACAAGGAGAATATCATGCTTAGTGAAATAAGCCAATCCCCCCAAACCAAAGGCTGAATGTTCTGATATGTGGAAGCTAAACCTAGAACAAGGGAAGTTGTGGAAGGGGATAATAGAGGTCCATTGGATTAGACAGAGGGGAACTAAGGGAAGAGAGGTGGGAGGGGAATAGGATGGACAGTAGAATGAATCAGACATAACTTTCCCAGCCTTGTATTTGAATACACGACCAGGGTTATTCCACATTATGTAGAACCACAAGAATGGGATCCTAATTAGAATAAGTTATGCTCCATGTATGTATATTTGCCAAAATACATTCTATTGTCATTTATATCTTAAAGGAACAAATAAAATTATTTTTTCTAAAAAAATCAACAATAATATTACTTCTTTTTGGAAAATATTGGAGCCCAATGCATATAAGGTAGGATGATATAAAAAGTCTCCTGCTCTCAGTTTTTATGCTTCATTTCCTTGTTGCTGAGGATTTAAAAGTAGACCCTCCCCTTCATGGGGCATTTGCCTCTGTCAGCTCCACAGGAAGCATGGGAACAGCAGAGGACGCACGGGAGGGCAGAGATGGGGTAGGGGAGAGTATCCTGGGTGTGACATGGTTTTTAAATTGAATTGATAGAGAACTTGCTGAATTTGACTGAGTTTATTTGAATGTAACTAGGTTAAGCTTCTGCAGTAGATAGACAGGAAGAATCAAAATAGCATTAGAGACCGAGTAGAAGTGTATTAAAATACAACTATGTGTTTGTACCTACAAGGTACAGATTTGCAAAATGTGTACCCACCAGGCATCTAAACAAGTTTGTGTGATGGTCTAGGCTTTCTGTTGTTGAATTAGGGAGATGAAGAAGTTAATTCCACTATGGACATGGTTGACTTTCATTCTGTGTTTTGAAGACAAAGTCATGGATTCTTCTAGTTTTGAAAGTCAAATTGAATAAGCCATTGAGTTTACAGAAATAGCATACAGCAGCCTTGTATGTTGTATCATCAACATATAGTTCCACAACTAACTCCCAACATTAAGCAATCTTCAATTAATTCTTAGAATAAATGTGTTAGCAGCAATACCTTTCCATATACAGCTTTAATTCTCACAAACACGGAGAACAAATTTAGTATCTTTCTCTTTTAATCATGAACAACAGTGTATGTAGGAAAGGGTCACATCCTCTAGAATAATCCTACTAAGTCTCCAAAGACGATGTATTGGAAATAGGTGACTTTTTTTTTTTTTAATGAGAAAAAGAAACCTTTGCCCCTTACCTTCGCACCAAGGATTGAAGAGAATATACGTGTCTGTCTCCGGGTTTCGGCGAGTTCGGAGTATGCCATAGGGGGTCCAGATAGCCACGTACATGCGGAATTTACCCACGATGCACTCGGGGGAGGACTGGATGGACAGCCGGACAGACCTGTCCTCGCTCATGATGACCTTGGCCCCCCACTTTCCCTTCTGCAGCTCTGGCACGACGGGCACTGGGATGTACGTCCCCTTGTTCTCCTGAGGGTAGCGACCTGTGAGAAGGAGCAGGAGGACCTGTGTGAGTGTGGAGCAGAGTTCACAAACCATTTTTGTTCTCACTCTGGGGTCCAAAGGGGGAAATACTCCATTAGGGCTTGAAATCCTAAAGCTTGGGCTTGAATTTCATTTTTTCTATCAACAAGCTTGGAGCTGGGGACCTACAAGAAACTGAGGCTTGTGATCAAGTTAGAAAGATTTCAGACCAAGTTGCTCAGAGTCAGAGGAATGAGTCTATTGAAGGGTCAGGCAAAGGGAAATGGACCTTCTCAAGTGAGAGACTGGGTCCTCTTGGAGAGGAGAGGGACAATGTGCCTGTCTTACACTCCAGTTTTATTGGGGATCCCAAAGAAGTTTCCAGAGAGTCTTGCCCAAGTCCACCTCTTGACTTTTGACTGACAACAAGATGACATCAGACTTTCAAGTCCCACTGCCATGGCAATTCTGTGTCACCTTGGCCCATGCCAACCAGTTCTATTTGGATTCTTAACCATACATTCTTACAGATTTTATGATTAGGAAGAGCTATCCTGATCTCTCAGAGTTTCAGGATCTGGTCATGAAAGTCTCCTATGTTCCTCCCCTCGACATTATCTTGGACCTGGATTTCTCCTGAAGTTAACAGGTAGTTTGCTGAGGAATGTGACATATCCTGTCCACTTAGGCAGGGCTGCAGGTAAATTGCTTCTTGGAAAAGAAAGCATGTGGGGATCAGCCCAGTGAGCCCATTTTATAGAATTCTTCTCTTAACCTTGTATTCTCCCCCATCCTCATCTGTCTGACCCCTAACAATAATAGTTTTCTTAATTTCTTTGAAGTTCAGATTTATTTTATTTACAAAAGGACAAAAAGACTTAAAGAGATTCCTTTTGGTGTCTTAGTCAATTTTCTGTTGCTTAATAATACAATACCACAGACTAGCTCACTTATAAAGAAAAGAGGTTTAGTGTGGCTCAGTGTTCTGGTTTAAGGTCAAGGGCCTTCTAACTGGCAGAGACCTGACACAGCTCAGAAACCATGTGGCGAGACACAAACCCTTCATGTGTCCTGGTCTCTCTTTCCCTTCTTATAAAGTCACCAGTATTCCATCATGGGGACCTCAACCTTCATGATCTTCTCTAATCCTAATTCCTACCCAGAGGCTCCACCTCTAAGCACGTAGTCAGATTAGGTTTCCACCCTTTAATATCTCACAATGGGGATTAAATTTTACCTGAGTTTTGGAGGGGAAGGGGTCAAATTCTACTCAAACTATCACAGTGGTCAGAGAGTGAATTCAAACTCGTAGAAACACCAATTTGGATGCAAAATCAAAAGTTATAGGGGACTTTGGGATTATCAGTTCCCTAAAATTTTACCTTCTAAAAAGTTGCAATTGTCTATTAGATAGAAGTACTATTAATACACAATTCTACTTTGGGGGCTCATAAAGCAAATTACTTTTGTTGATTCTGAGTACAATTTCTTTGATATGATATTTCCTATAATAGGAATATGCTGGTAGGGCATCCAAATATAATCATCTTTACACTTATTTTTATATACTGGTTTCCAATCCCATTAATGATTTAGGCTTACGTCATGGGCAATGGTTAAGATTTCAGACTTCTGGTAAATGACCTGGGTTTCAATCTTGGCTTGACTACATCTTACCCTTGCAACTTCTGGAAAATTAATTGACCATTATAAACCCCCACTTTCTTCTCTTTGTGTTCATCAGTAAATAAGGACAATAATACTACCCATCCCATAGAAAGGCAAAATAATAGAACAATGTGAATGCTTTGCATATAATTTCTCAAACACAACAAGCACTTGTTATTTCAATAAAAGATTAAGCATCAGGTCATTTCACCATATTTCCAGGCTCATCATGTTTTATATATAAGCTATCTCAAGGTAAATGTTATTTTTCTTTATTACCACCATTTTGGGATTCTTTTTTTCATGGTCTTAATCTTTTTTTTAAAGAAAGGCTTTTAAAACAATTTATTTTAGTTGTCAATGGACCTCTATTTTATTTATTTATACATGGTACTGAGAGTACTAGGCAAGTGCCCTATGACTGTGCCCTATGACTGTGCTACAACCCAGCCCTCGTGGTCTTAATCTTAAAGCTAAATTTTATCAGTAGTTTTCTGAACTGTGTCTACAAAGTCAACATAACAGCATTATTTGACTCATTAACTTATGGTTTCATTTACAGTCTAATTTGCAGGAATGATCAAATCCATTTGCTACTTTAAACTGCAGCAAATCTTTCATTAATACACCTTTTCAAAATATAATAGATTCATTCCCCTTGAAAAGAGATACAAATAAGATAAGTCTGCAAATTATTTTGGTTGTAAGCAGAAACTTCAAGAGCAAAACTTACTCACTTCAATAGTGCTACATAAAACCTACAAAGCATTCCACAAATAAATAACATTTCATTTTAGTCTCTTTCATTATGGAGGTCTTTAAAAGATCCTTTGGTAGGCATATTGTCACAGGGAAAGCATTCTTAGGAGGACGTGGTCCTCTAAGTTACTACAGTGCAATTCTATAAGCCTGCTTCATTTTAATGAAAATAATGATTTATACAGTGCAAACCAGGGAGAAACATGATAACCCCAGTGCTTTGCTATGTGTTAGGGGTATCGGTTAATCACCATTCAGAATGAATATCATATATACCCATCATAAATCTGATGAAGACTTAATCATGATTTTTTGCCACGGTGCCACAGGGGCCAAGTAGGGCTCTTGGGGATAAATAGGACTCAGCCTCCAGAAGTCCCTGCATAAACCCACAGGCCAGAGCATGTTTATTCCAAGGGCAACTGTGTCCACCCTTTTCCTGTTTAGCCTTTCTCTTTGTGTTTGCTAGACTCAGAGATGTGGTTGATCTTTTCCCCAGAGAGCTTGTAGCTCCCTGGAGCCTCACCCCTCCCCCCTCTACCCCCCACCCCGCGTTGAAGTGTAGACAGTACAGGCAATCTTGTCAGATCAATGGGACCCATAATTCAATTATTGCAGTGCTCCCAGCAGCTGATGCCACTACATACTGGTTTGGGTTTGGAGTGCACGGTATTAAAAAAAAAAAATGTCACAAGTTGAATGATAATCAACTTTAAAATATAAAATCTAGTAATGACAGACAGATTTAAAAAAAATACGAAATTAAAGGGGTTTAAAACTACCTTTGAGAATAGCAAAGAACTAGAAGACTGTATCTGAAAATACTCTTTGTACTTGAGATGTGCTCAAACCTGAGCTGCTTCTTCATCCTAACATTCACGTTGGGTGAGAATATTGAAAGAACTGACACAATCACTGGTTTCTTGTACAGTTTGATTATCCTTTATCTTTAATGCTTCTGACAAGTTTTTTTTTGTTGTTGTTAATTTTGCATATACACAAAGATATATCAGAGATAGGACCAAGTCTAGCATGAAACTCATTTATGTTTTCTACCTACTGTATATATATAGACTGAAGGTAATTCTATACAATATTCAAAAGATTTTTTTGCATGCAACAAAGTTTCGTGGTGTAAAATTTTCTATGTGTGGTGTCATGAAAGATCTTAAATAGGTTTGGAGAATTTTGGATTTTTTGGAGCACTTTGGATTTTGGAATTTTATGTTAAAGTTAAACTCCATATATGTTACAATATGTCAAAATACATCCTACTATCATGTAAAACTAATAAGAACAAGTTAAAAAATATAAAAAAAGATGCTCAGCCTATATTACATGTCGAAGTATGACTTAAAAGACACACTAAATTTCACCTATAAAACCCAAATTATGCCAAAATATTTTTTAAAAGAACCCAAAACACAGGAAAACAAAAAGAGTCGTGTCTACTCTTACTGGCATTGAATCCAGTTATAACACCACTAAAAGACTAGCTTGAACATTTTTCATTTATGTAGCAATATTTTCTATTATGTGCTAGACATCATTCTAAGTTCTAAGGATATAACACAAGCAAAACAGACCAACAATCCCATGAGAACTTCTAGTCCAGAGAGAGAGAGAGAGAGAGAGAGAAGAAAACAATGCTTGTGGTGTTTATTATGTCCCTGTCTCCTCTGTATTCCTTACAACAAACTATGAGAAGGATTCAATTTTCACCATCCTAATTTGACAAATCAGGAAACCAAGACAAGGAATTATTAAAAAAAAAGTTGTTCCAGATGATGCAGTTGGTATACAGTGGAGCTCACAATGAAACACAGACTGTCTGGCTTGAGGGTCTGGGAGTCTAAATACTAAGCTCTATGAAAGTCATTTGTGTTGAAAATGCTTTGGAGTTGGTGAGAACCATGTCAAATTCTGGCTCCACAGTTAACTCTTAGTGCAATTTGGGGCAGATCACTTAATTGTCTGAACTTCTTATTCCTTGATGGTTTGCAGTCTACTTCTGGAAAAGGAAAGACAAGACAAACTTCATGACGAAAGCTTTGCGTCTGGTCTGCAGCAGGTGCTGATTAGGAACATCTAGAGTTTGTGTTTTAGAGTCAGCAGTTACTGGACAGCACAGGTAGGAGGAAGAAAAGTGATGTTTTCCGCTCTGGCTCTGAGACTGAAGAAATGTGTGTCTCTGGGGAAACTGGTCACTCTTGTTGAGACAAGGATTGTGACCAGTAGGAAAGCAATTTTCAAGCCTCTAACACTAGACATGACATTGGTCAAAGCATTCTTCCTCTGTCAACTAAAACTTCATCCATTCTGTAAGATGGAAATGGTGATAATCGTGATGGGAGGCACCTACTACAGGGACATTGTTGTTCCTTCCCCATTTCTTTTAGACTTTCTGATTCCTCTCACTCATTTTCTCTGCAACAGCAATGGGAAGCCAGGATGGGTGCGTTGACTATCAATAGACTGGAGAACAAAATCTACTTTAAAAGGCCAGTTTATCACAGATTTAAAAATCTTGGGTTAAGCTGGGCGTGGTCACACATGCCTGTAAATCCAGCAACTCAGGAGGCTGAGGTGGGAG